GTAGGAAATATGGGGAAGTGTTTAACCTGCTAAAATTACAAAATCGATGACGTTTTCAAAGTTAAGATGTAAAAGAGTGGCTTTCTAAAATCAAAGTGGGAGAAATTCAGACAAATGAAAAGAATGGTAGATGCTCACTGCATCTGCTATTGTGGATGCATTGTCTGTTGAGCTTGTACCGTATGTCAGACATCAAGAAAGTGTGTCACTAGCATTATTTGCATGTCATCCTCACAGTCTTTGGTGGCTTCATTTCAGAAGTGAAGAAATGAGTGAAGAGAAAGCTGTGTGCTGAGATCAGCAGTTAGCTGGAGCAGTCAGGACTCGAAGTTGCAGTTGGGCTCGCTAAGCCTGTGTTCACAGCCACTGCATTGGACCTACTCCCGGAATGCTGCTTTTTCTGGGATACTTAGCCTCTGTAAACGCCTCTGTTAGATTGACTGCACCACAGTTATTTAGCTCTTGTGTCTAGTGTATGTAAGTGTTAGGCATTTAAAGATAATTGAAAACTGTAGTTTTAATTTTTATTCTATTTTAAACTAATGTTGAGTACTTTCTGATCATTTTTCTCATTTTATGATGTTTTGTAATTCATTTTGGTGGGGGCTATTCCTCTTCTCTTTCAAGAGGACATCTTTAAGTATCCTTTGTAGGGTAGGTTTGGAAGAGGCATATTCTTTTAACTTTTCTTTACTATGGTAAAATTTTATTTCATCTTCAAAGACAAAGGAAAGCTTGCTGGGTACATTGTTCCTGGGCAAACGTTGTTTTGCTTTTAGAATCTGGGATGTATGTTGTTCCATTCTCTTGCCTGTGGAGTTTCATGTGAGAGGTTTTCTGTGAATTTAATTGGCATTCCTTTATACATCAATTGATTTTTTTCACATGCACATTTGAAGATTTTTTCCCTATACTCAATTGACGAGAGCTTGATGTGCTGTGGTGAAGATCACTTTTGGTCAAGCCTGTTGGGAGTTCTGTGCCCCTCCTGGATACAATTCTTTCTCCAGATTAGGGAAGTTTTCTTATTTCATGAAGTACATTTAAAAATTTATTTTATGTTATTCTTTTAAAGATTTATTTTACCTTTATTGGAAAGTTAGATGTACAGAGAGACAGAGAACAATATCTTCCATCCAATGACTCACTCCCCAAGTGACTGCAACGGCCGATGCTGCACCGATCTGAAGCCAGGAACCTGGAGCCTCTCCCCAGGTCTACCATGCAGATGCAAGATCACAAGGCTTTGTCCAGTCCTCCACTGCGGGAAGCAGGGCTGCCGGGATACAAATCCACACCCAAATGGGATCCTGGTGCCTGCAAAGAGAAGACTTTAGCTACTAGGCTATTGTGCTGGGCCCTTAAGTACATTTTTAAACCCAACTTTTTTTGCACCTTCTGGAACTCATAGCTCTTATATTTGGCTTTTTAATTGTGTCTTTTGATTTCTTTAAGCTTGACCCAGCTCTTCTTCCAGTTTTTTGATTGTTTCTCCCTGGTGACAGGAAGTATCTTCCAATTCTGAGATTCTTTTTTCTGCCTCCTTCATTCTATTATTGAGACTTTCCATGGATTTTTTTTAAAGATTTATTTATTATTTTTTATTGGAAAGGCGGATATACAGAGAGGAGAGACAGAGAGGAAGGTCTTCCATCGGATGATTCACTCCCCAAGTGAGCGCAACAGCCGATGCTATGCCGATCCGAAGCCAGGAGCCTCTTCCAGGTCTCCCACACGGGTGCAGGGTCCCAAAGCTTTGGGCCGTCCTCGACTGCTTTCCCAGGCCACAGGCAGGGAGCTGGAAGGGAAGCGGGGCTGCTGGGATAGAACCGGTGCCCATATGGGATCCCGAGCGTGCAAGGCAAGGACCTCATCCACAGCCCCCTCATTCTTAACCATCTGAGATTGTGAGGCAGATTTTTCCTTAAATGTTAATATTTGCTAAAACTTCCCAAGGCATAAGAATCTAAAAGACTTACATACCCAAGCCTTTGAGAACTTTAATTTGATCAATCTGTCGAGTTTCTCCTCTGTGCCAACCAGTAAGTTACAGTGAGGTTTAAGTGGCATACTTTTTTTAGACATGGTGATAATTTGTTTGAGGGCATTTTGTTTTCTCCAAATAATTGAAGACACTAATGTCGCAAGGCCACATTTCTTGGATAACTTATTTCTGATGTTGATTTGGAAAGCAGAGAGACAGAAACAGATCAATATATTGGCTCACTCCCAAATGCCCACAGCAGCTGATGCTGAGCCAGGAGCTTTAAACTTGACAGTGGGTCTCTCATATGGATGGTAGTGACTCTACAACTAGAGCCATCACCTGCCGCCTCCCAGGATGTGTGTTAGCAGAAGCAGAGTTGCCATGTGGGCCTCCCAAGAGTGGCATCTCAGCTGTAAGACCAAGCACCCATACTGAGCAGATTTCTTAAATGTGCCTTTCAGATGGAAAAAAATGAGTACTAAAATAAGCTTATGTCAGGATCTAGCACATGTAAGTTGCTCTACAAAGGTAACTTTAATATCACTATTTTTTCCCCATCTAGTTGAACTTTCTAAAGTTTAATTTCCAGATTAGTAAGGGGGTATAGCTGCATAAAAAAAAAAATATCCAAGAGCTTTTCTCTGTTCTCAAATAAAGAAGATTTGAACATTAAATTTCAACATCCAACTCTTGGAATTCCTGCTGATTGTTTTCATTGTATTCTTGGTTTATTTTTATACCTAAGGTCTGATAGGCATATAATATGTGCTTTGTGAACCTTAAACTAAGTGAAAAGATTGTTCAGATGAAAGGTATGTGGATAAATTGGTTTGGGGGCAATTCTAGACAATTCTTGCCAGAACTGGTATCTTTGTTTCAGTCTTCAGGGACTATTAAATGTAATCACCAAGTCAGCTTACTATTTTCTCTGTTGCTGGCTATCTCTCTCAGACTCTGAAGTGTCAGCCACAAGGTGCTTTCAAGGCAGAGTAGGCCTCTAAGACCAGGGAGAGTATGTTTATTTGAAGAAAGAAATAATTAAGTTGAAACATCATAGCTAGCTACTGTGGTAATGTTAAGAGCTAGTTAAGTTCTTTTGATTCTTTCTGATGGCCATGATACCTCATGGTAAAAGGTAAATTATAAGTGACCTTTCCCTGTGATTGTTCCATGGAACTTTATCATGCAATCCCAAACAAAAATCCCTAAAGGCCTGGGGGTAGAGAAAAAAATTGTTTATGTTGCTAGTTGTTTCTTTTATGTTTTAGATTCATTTATTTATTTGAATGAGTTACAGACACACTTGTGGAACTACAATCTCTGCTGGCTCCTCCTAGAACTGAGGATGGTGTCAGGCCTTGCTGGGAAGTTAAGGGGGCACCTCAGATGGGTTGATGTTCCCACTGTTGAGAATGAGAGTAAGATTGAGTGCAGCAGGCGTATGTGTGCACGGCTATAGACTGCACTGGAACAGGTGTGCACTGGGGCAGTGGAGTGACAGATTGGGCTTGACTCCAAACCCCTCTGGTACTCGTGAGAGCCATTTTGGGTATAGACCTGGCCAGACCAGGTCTTGACTTGCACTGAACTACGTGAAAGCTGTGTCTGGGTGTATATCAAGCAATGCTGGGTTACAACAACCAACTACAGGAACCAGAATGGGTGTGGCCAGCTGAGCAAGGCCAGGTCAGGAGGTGGACGAAGTCAACCTGGGCCAGTGACCCATTGGTGTGCGCAAAAACTGCTACCAGAAGGAGACTCTGGAGGAGCTTGGGAAACTCCTTCATTGGGACATAGACCCTGCAGGAAAGTGCAAGAAACAAGGCAAGAAGCAGCCCAAACCCCATGCCAGGTTACAGTACCCACCAGCAGTGCTGGGCCACTGAATGCTTTTCTCTTTACTTTTCTTTCTTTTCTTTTCCTTTCTCTTCTTTTCTTTCATGATCTTTGCATAATTGATCAGGATAGGAAGGGTCGAGGATCGGGATAGTGGGATAGTTTACACATTTTCTTCTTCCTGTTTATGAAGGAGAGAGGGAAACAATAGGAAAACCATGCCCAGCCTCCCAACCACCACATTCCCTGGGCATAGGGAACTGCCACCTGATGTCATCCCAGGGTCCCCATTGTGGAGCATTTTCTGAGTATTCTGCTCATGTGGTTTTGATACTTCTGAGATGCTGCTGATAGTGCCACTCCAAGGATGAGGAAATCCTTCTAAGGTCAATTGGCTGTCATGGTCTACCTCTGAGTCTCCATTCACCCAGAAACTTTGTGTCAAGCTTCACTGGAGAGTTGATCAGTTTGTTCTGCCCTCTTGCCTTTGTAAGCCAGTGGATGCTGCATCCAGGTCCGGCCCTGCTCCACACATGTTCAGCCCTCACATCGGGGAGAGCTGCAGTCCAGTCAGAGTGACCCCCCAATAACCTTCATTGGGATGGTCCCCAGCTCTGATTCCAGTGCCTGCCAGCATATGCAGTGGACTGGTCTGGTCCAGTCCGTCTCATATCTCATTGAGATTTCATATACGCCACTGAATGCATTTCTTAAATATGTATTTATTTATTTGAAAGTGCATTGGAAAGAGAGCAAAAAAGAGCTAGTTTGCTCCCCAATGGCCAGGCTGGTTGAGGCAGAAGCCAGGAGTCAGGAACTCCATCCTGATCTCTCACACGGATAGCAAGAACTTAAGTACTTGGGCCGTCTTCCAGTGCTGTCTTAGGTGCATTAGTAGGGAGTTGGGCTGGAAGCTGGGGAGCTGCAACTAAAACGAGCACTCTGATTGCCAGCAGTGCAAGCAATAGCTTAATCTGGAGTATTATTCCATTACATCCATTATATCCATTGTATCCATTACAAATACCCATAACCATTCTTTCAGTAGCTTTTTATTCAGTACTTAGCGTGACGGTAATTGTTTTAGTTGCTTGAAAATATTAATAAAACTGACAAAATCCTATTTTTGTATTTACATTCTAGGGAGATGTAGACAATAAACAAATAGAATAAATAATTTATTGTGTTCAAAATGTACAGTCTTTGGGCTTCCCAATATGCCTGCTCTTTTTTCTTTGTCCACTTTATGGAGGATACTCAAGAATTGGAAGGCTGGGGTGGCTGAAAGGCATTGAGGATTGAAGAGGTCTTATTCTGAGTGAGCAGCCTCATTCGCAGCCATTAGTAACATTTGTATTAGAAAGTTGCTTGTCATTAATGTAGTTTAATTATCTAAAGACTTTTATGATTTTAGTCAGAATATGTTTAAAAGTTGCATTCTTAATAACTGTACCTTTATTTCAGAAATGACCATGAGGAAGTAGACACACAGATGAAAAAGTGATGAAGCACACCATTTGTCACAAAGTAAGATGCAGCCGTGGCTTTTCAACCAGATTAGTAAGTGTGATCAGATTTTTTTTTCTTCAAATTTTACAGATATTTTCATCTGTTTTGAAAAATATTTAGTATAAAGTGTGGTATTGACTTGTATTTTTGTTTTCACTTTGTATTACAAATCCTAGCAGGTGTGCTACTTATAAAATATGTATGTTCTGTACCTTTTTAAGAATCATAAAGTTCATAAGATAGAATCATAAAGGTGAAAAGATAGAATCACAGCTTCAGGTAAAAATGTGTGGAAAAGACCCATTGTAATATCCAAAATAGTTACTATATTAACTTTAGAATATTTGTTTTTCCTTCCAGTCTTTGTTCCACATATTGGATAAAATTTAGTTTTAATCATGGTGTTAGAAAGAAACATACTTCTTGTACACCTTTAGAAATTAAATTTGTTTCAAATATCTTTTGTTGGAATTAGAACTGTACCATTCTGTGTGTGGTTTCTTACTGGGGTGATGCAGATATTCTGGAATTAGGTAGTGCTGATGGATATGAAACTGCAGAAATGTTAAAACCACTATTTAAAGGAATACATTTTGTAGTATCTAGAAAAATAAATATCCTTCAAGAATACCTGCTCTTGGAGAGATTAACACATAATTAATTTATACATGCTTTATATTATAAATATTATATTTATTTTATATATAACATCATTACAAATTGTACCTTGTAAAAATGGTTTGAGGTTTACTTAATAGAATAAGCATTTTTTAATATTAAAAGTCATTATTGGAGACCAGTCTCTTGGGTTTATCAAGTATCATAATATTCTGAATGTGCTATGCTAGCATCTTATAACTTCATTTTGAAGAGACTGTTTTGAAACTAACATTCCAACTTCTCTACCTGAAAATTTTTTAGGGGCAAAATTGTATCTGTTTTTCTCAGAAGAGAACTCCACAAGGTAAGAAATTGCTTATAATAGTAAAGCAAATATAATTGGATACAGATTTACTCGTTCTTAATTTTTGAGATTCTTAAATTATTTCATTTTTCTTGATTATTAGAAGATTTAAAAAAAATTAGCCACTTTTTTAACATCCTAAAGTTTGTAGTGAAGCACCTGATCTTGTTTGAAGTTAGAGTTAAAAGAAGGTAACAGGAAAAAGCTGTCTCTGAAACAAAAAATGCTTACACCTAGCACCCTTAACAGTGAGATTTTTCTCTTTAAAGAAAAAAAAGTGTTACTTTCTTTTGGTGATGATCATGCTTCTTTTACAAAGGGAAATTATCTAAATGTTTGGGTAGAAATTATCTTAGAGGCTGTAAATTAAAGCAAATTGTTTATTTATCTTCTGTCCATTGGAAATTATATAACTCCTTTGTATAGTTTAGAAAGAGGAATGCTTCATACTAAGTAGACAGTAAAAGATTAAGAATAATATGAATAAGTTTAAACCCATGAACACTTTCAGTGGCTTTTTAGTAGCCGTTGATTTCTGTTATATTCTTTTAGACTTCTGAAGTATAAAATGTTCAGGTGTGTAGCAGTAAAATCTAGATAGACTTTCGCCTGGTAGTTAAGATGCCTGTATCCACGGTGGAGCATCTAGGTTAGCATGCATCCTGACTCCTTCTTCCTGGAGGCAGCTGTGATGGGTCAAGTAATTGGGTTCCTTTCATCCTGTGGAAGATCTTGATTGAGTTCCCAGCTCCCAGCTTTGGCCTGTCTCCAACTCCAGCCATTGTGGACATTTGGGGGATAAACCTATGAATAGGAGCCCTGTTTCTGTGTGAAACTTAAAAATTAAAATAAGGAGAATCTCCGTATTGGTTTATTTACAGTATAACAAGAAAACATTTATCAACCTGAAGAAGTTACTTTGAATGGGGGAGGGGTGTGGCATTGTGATTTGGTGTGACACCAGCATCCCATATGGGTAGCAGTTAATGTGCCTGCTGCTCCCATTTCTGATCCAGTTCCCTGCTGATGCGCCTGGGAAAAGCAGCAGTAGATGTCTCATATGTGGGAGATTAAAAAGAAAGTGGTTTTTGCCTGGCCTGGTGCTGGCCTTTGGAACCATCTGGAGAGTGAACCAGGGATTGAAGATCTTGGTCTCTCTGTCTTCCTCTCTCTGTGTAACTCTTTGAAAATAAATTTTGTTGTTGTTATTATTATTAAAAACATTATTTTAAATTTTAAAGGAATATTTTGGAATAGGTAGTAGTGATCACTAAAGGATAATTATTGACTGGAAATGCTTATAAAATACATTATTCAGATTAGTGACTTTAATCCCTTTTTATTTTTCTGTTTGGATAGCACATATCCTGAAGGCAACGTTGTTCTCTTAGGTACATCTTTTCTCCCTGATTTTGAAACTGCTGTAGATTCATCATACACATTTTTATTCTGGTCCTGGAAATAAAGTATTAAAATGAAGGAACCCGCCGGCTGAGGATGTGGGGAAAGCAAATCACCAAGATGTTTTTTCCTTCCTGGGTTTCTTGTGAAGCTCCTTTTTCCTGTTTTTTTGCATTTACTTCTAAGAGAGTATCAGGAGGTCCTGGAGCCTATGTATGACACTCTCTGTGTTAATGGTTTATGCAGAGATCATCCAGTGTTGTTGTAGGTCTGGAGGGCCTTCAGATATCCCAACTGCTTGGTTTCAGTACTTTGTTCACATTTGAGCTTGTGGAAGGATTTCTTTGGGTAGTAGAGTAAAGGAATACAGATCAGAGATTAAGAAATTTAATGTCTTGGAATATGAACTTTAAATTTTAACAGTGATTTTGTTCTGGAAAAATAGGTAATGATATTAAATGTGGGCCTCTCTGATTTTATGTTAGGATCCTTTGTTTTATATAGTTCAGTGTAAGTAAAGTGGACCTTCCTCCATAAAAACCTAGGTAGTTTTGTAAACAAATGCCGTTATGCTAGATACTTATTTTTGAAGTTCTACTCTTAGCTTTCCATGTGAGATGGCTTAATTTTATTTTTTCAGCTACTTGCTTTTAGGTTATGGAAAAGTATATATACAAAACTCCAAATACATTGAAGCTGCACACAAATTGCTGCCACAGAACAAAAGTGCTGATCAAGTTAAATCAACCCCTATAATGTGTATTGAAAGGAAAAACCTCTCCTCTCTCCCCTAATTTGAAGAACAAGCGTTTTTCCTGCCAAGAGAGACTGACTTTAAATGGCCCAGCTGTCCGTATTAGGAGCGTGGGGTTGCTAAGGTGACCGTGGCAGTTGGGAGAAGAATGCAGCTGAGAGGGCAGTCCTTGATGTGTGAGTTGAGGGAAAGAATGTGGTGTGATTGTGCATCATTCCTGCTAATCACATGCTCACAAAGTGCTATGTGGGCAGCATGTAGAAACTACAAATTTAGTGCTAGGGCTTGTGTGTGGTTGAAATGATCCTGTTTTCATGTGAGCTAGAGGCTTACCGTTCAGGAGGAAAATGTGTACCTTTTTCTGTATGTGTATGTTTGAGGTGAAGGGGGCGTTCTTTGATGCTGGATAAAAAGAAAATTTCTTTTGCTTAATGGGCACGTGTTCTTTTTAAAAAGTGCTTTGTTTAAACAATCTCTTCCCAGCTCATCCTTTTCAGAGTTCTTCTAGTGTATGAATGATGTGTCTTTGTAATTGTTTATATTTCTTTGACATTTTAATTCCAGAATCATTGGAAAGTGCCAAAAATATGTTTTCTACTTGGTGAGTTTTCTTTTTTTTCATTTTTAATAAGGTAAATGCTATTGCATCTTACACAATAAATATTCCCTGAAGCATCCAAAGAGAGATTCTGACATTATTTTTGTTGAGTAACTAGCCCGTTTTGTAAAAGTCATAATTCAGGGGCCTGGTGGCATGGCCTAGTGGCTAAAGTCCTTGCCTTGAACACGCCAGAATTCCATATGGGCGCCATTTCTAATCCCGGCAGCCCCTCTTCCCATCCAGCTCTCTGCTTGTGGCCTGGGAAAGCAGTCAAGGACGGCCCAAAGCCTTGGGACCCTGCACCCGCGTGGGAGACCTGGAAGAGGTTCCTGGTTCCCTGCTTTGGATTGGCGCCGCACTGGCCATTGTGGTCATTTGAGAAGTGAATCATTGGACAGAAGGTCTTCCTCTCTGTCTCTCCTCCTCTTTGTGTATCTGACTTTGTAATAAAAATAAATAAATCTTTTTTAAAAAGTCATAATTCAAGGACAGTGAGAGAGTGAGAGAAGGGTATAACCACTATGTAGAATTTATCATGGGCATCATTGCTAAGGCTTAATATCAGATCCAGATACAAGAATTGATAAGACACTCAGTGAACCATTGGTTGTTTTTGTTCTTCTTGTTTTCAAATTTTATAGTAATGTGTTCATCTTAAGTACATTTATGAAGGCATACATTTTTTGAAATAATGTTAGTCTTATATTGTGCCAGTTTCATATTTTTTCAAGTATTTTATTTTTGTGGTCAGCATTGTGGTGTAGCATGTTAAGGTGCTGCTTGGGTTGTCCATATACAATCATACGAATGCTAGCCCGCAGGCTTGGCTGCTGTGGTTTCAGTCCAGCTCCCTGTCCTAGGAGGCAGTGGAAGGTAACCTGAGTGCTTGGAACCTTGCCGCCCACATGGGAGACCCAGAACAAAAAAAATATATATTATGTATTTATATTTGAATGGCACAGAAATATTTCTCATCTACTGATTCACTCCCCAAATGCCAACAGCAGCCCGGAGTAGGCTGGATCTTAACCAGAAGCCCAGAGTTCAGTCTCTGGGTAGAGGGGAGCCAGTTCCTTGAACCATTACCTGCTGCCTCCCAGGGTATGTGTTAGTAGGAAGTTTGTATGAAGAGGACAGGTGGGGGCCTGGCACAGTGGCCTAGTGGCTAGAATTCTTGCCTTGAACATGCTGGGATCCCATATGGACGCTGTTTCTAATCCCAGCTGCCCAACTTGTGTCTTGGGAAAGCAGTTAAGGATGGCCTTGGGACACTGCACTTGCGTGGGAGACCCAGTGGAGGCTCCTGGCTTTGGATTGACGCGGCTCTGGCTGTTGAGGCCAAATGGGGAGTGAATCATCGGACGGAAGATCTTCCTCTCTGTCTCTCCTCCTCTCTGTATATCTGGCTTTGCAATGAAAGTAAATAAATCTTTTTTAAAAAAAAAAAGAGGAGAGGTAGATTTAACCCAAGCTCACTAATATGTGTTGCAGCTGTCGCAAGAAGCATTTTAACTGCTGTGCCAAGCACTTGGCCCATATTGTTCTTTCTTTTCTGATTGTCTACTTGCTTTCACATGATTGCTTTTTAATTAATTTGCTAAATGATGGAGGGGGAAATTAAAGGACCACAATAATTTGATTTATTAATTCACTTGCTTGTCACCCACCATTCATGAACACATTGATAACTTTTGATGGCAGTCAAAAGTATAATGGTTTCCATATGAGTGTGCCTCATAGCATTCTTTAGTTTTGTTATTAAATGTTAAAAAGCACTTCAGAAAGCTCACTGGCCATTTTCATTTTGATTCAAAATGTTTTAAATGCATGCATTCCACATGTCTTTAAAAAGCTCACAAAGGGGCAAGTGTTGTAATGCATCCAGTAAGGAGCTGCCCGGCATGCCATAAGAGTACCTAATTTGAGCCCCATTCCCCATTCGTCTGCTTCACTTCTGATCTTAGCTCCCTGCTAACGGCCTGGGGAAAGCTGAGGAAAAATGGCCTTCCACATTGAGTTGTCTTGGGACCTTTGTCAAAAGACCATTCATTCATGTCATAAAAGTGAATGAATTTATGGATCCTCACCTGTTTCACACATCATGATTTAATGCTTGTTGATGGTAGCTTTGTAGTCAGTTTGGAAATTTTAAAAAAATGAAGAGCTGTTTTTTCTTTTTGAATCATTTTTTAATAATATTTGTAGTTTTTTCCCAAAAGCTGAATTTTTTTTTACTTTATTTAA